GGGATTTGAACCCGGGACCTCTCGCACCCTAAGCGAGAATCATACCCCTAGACCAACGAGCCAATGTATTTAAATTGTGTCTTATTATTGAGAAACATTAATAATGTACTAATACAAACACTAGGGATCAGCTAGCGAGACCACGTTGGTGTGTCTGTTAGCAGCCAAAGAAGAAACAACGCGTCGTGTGAAGCGTAGTCATCCTGACTGGGAGGAGAATTTTATCAAAACCAAATTAGTCGCATACACGTCTGGTAACAACCGTATATTAAATTATTCTATTTATCCTTACAGTAAATAATTTATTTTATGAAGGATTTGAATATAAAATTTAATTTGATTTTTAATTGCACGCTCGTTTCGAATTGTTAGACACGAGCTTATTTAATTGATCAATTTTATTTTATAGACCAGTCGAATTCCTCCGTGGAGAAGGGAGGGATGTTAGCATCGATTCCTATGAAACTGCTGGCTACCGATGAGAAATGCGTTCTCCGAGGTGACACGTTATTAAAAGCGATCAAAGCGGATCTCGAGAAAGGTTTGATACCGTGTTGTGTCGTGGCTACTTTAGGTACGACAGGCACATGCGCCTTTGACAATCTTCAAGAATTGGGACCAATTTGCAATGAGTACAATATATGGTTGCACGTCGACGCTGCGTATGCAGGTGAAACATTTTTCTTTAAACCTTTTACTTTGAATCCATATTTTTTATATTATCTTTATGGCTGCCTGATTTGTTAATAATTTTTAATAATAATATAATAATAATCCTTTATTTCAAGGAGAATTCTTAATAATATAAAGGAACTCTTTGTAATTTAAGTTTGACTAATAATAAAAAACCACTGGAAGCTTTATAATGAATAAATAGAAATAATTGTGTAATTAGAAGAATTAGAGTTAATTTTTTTTACAGGCGCTGCTTTTATTTGTCCGGAGTATCGGTATTTAATGTCAGGCGTTGAATACTGTGATTCTTTTAACATGAACGCTCACAAATGGCTACTTGTCAATTTCGATTGTTCAGCTTTGTGGTATGTACGAGAGAAATAATACGAAAAATAA